ACACCTCAATTACTGGAGCGCTTGGGGTTTTCCGAACCTGTTTTCCCCGGGAACGCAGGCGGAGAGATACATGATTATATCACCCTGGAAAATCCTAGAGGACTATACCGAACTTCACACGAAAATCACTCACTACCAAAGCAAAAGACTTGGCAGACGATGCAACATCCCCCAATGAAAAGCAGGGGTGTCACTAGCACGTTAAGAGACCATACAATAAGTGTCAGGGGCCCGAGACTGTTCAACTGCCTCCCAGCATACATAAGGGGGATTACCAACAGACCCCTGGCAGTCTTCAAGCTGGCACTGGACAAGCACCTAAAGTCGGTTCCTGATCAGCCGGGCTGTGGCTCGTACGTTGGTTTGCGTGTAGCCAGCAGCAACAGCCTGGTTGATCAGGCTCTGATCCACAAGGAGGCCTGGTCACAGACCGGGCCGCGGGGGCGTTGACCCCCGGAACTCTCTCCAGGTAAACTCCAGGTAAAACATTCCTCGTCAAGAAACTCAGGACTACAAATTCGGTATGCTCTTAGGAAAAACCCGATGATGATGCCTCTTTTGGTCTTGGTATCTTGACTGGAATAGAAGTGTGTGAGATCATTTTTATTGGTGGGTTTCCGATAAACTTGAAATCTTAGGTTGTTGTCTACTTTGTGAATGAGGACGTCGAGGAAAGGTAGCTTGTCATTGGACTCTTCTTCTAGTGTAAACTGGATCGCTGGTTCAACTGCGTTGAGCCTTGCCTGAAGATCCCGTACATCAAAACGTTTTGGAGTTATTACGAGGACATCGTCCACGTAACGTAACCAAGTGACGCTTAAAGGGGAAATGATGTTGGCGAAGTGTTCGGACTCTAGGTGTTCCATGTATAAGTTGGCTAGAACGGCACTTTTTGGGGACCCATTCCCATGCCGTGGGTTTGTTTGTAGAGCTTGTTATTGAAAGAAAAACATTTGAAATTAACACAGAGTTCAATCAAGTCAACAAAATCTCCGGGGGGTAAGGAAGATTAAGGTCCTGATTGACTTTACGTCATAGAACCTCGATGGCTTTTTTGGTAGGTACTTTTGTGAAGAGGGAAGTCACATCCAAACTGCTTAGTTTCTTGTTACGGATGGAGAAGTTACGGATGCGGTTGAGAAGGTCGCCTGAGTGTTTAAGATGAGCGGGGCTGATGGTCCCCAGAAGGCAGCAAAGATGTTTGGCAAGAACTCCGGCTAGTTTGTGTGGAGCACTGCCTATTCCTGACGTGATTGGTCTGAGAGGAATATTGTGTTTATGGGTCTTGGGTAAACCAAACTAGCCGGAGTTCTTACCCAAGACCCATAAACACAATATTCCTCTCAGACTAATCACGTCAGGAATAGGCAGTGCTCCACACAAACTAGCCGGAGTTCTTGCCAAACATCTTTCCTGCCTTCTGGGGACCATCAGCCCCGCTCATCTTAAACACTCAGGCGACCTTCTCAACCGCATCCGTAACCTCTCCATCCGTAACAAGAAACTAAGCAGTTTGGATGTGACTTCCCTCTTCACAAAAGTACCTACCAAAAAAGCCATCGAGGTTCTATGACGTAAAGTCAATCAGGACCTTAATCTTCCTCTACCTCCCGGAGATTTTGTTGACTTGATTGAACTCTGTGTTAATTTCAACTTTTTTTCTTTCAATAACAAGCTCTACAAGCAAACCTACGGCATGGGAATGGGGTCCCCAATAAGTGCCGTCCTAGCCAACTTATACATGGAACACCTAAAATCCGAACACTTCGCCAAAATCATCCCTCAAGCGTCACTTGGTTACGTTACGTGGACGATGTCCTCGTAATAACTCCCAAAACGTTTTGATGTACGGGATCTTCAGGCAAGGCTCAACGCAGTTGAACCAGCGATCCAGTTTACACTAGAAGAAGAGTCCAATGACAAGCTACCTTTCCTCGACGTCCTCATTCACAAAGTAGACAACAACCTAAGATTTCAAGTTTATCGGAAACCCACCAATAAAAATGATTCTCACACTCTATTCCAGTCCCCGATACCAAGACCAAAAGAGGCATCCTCATCGGGTTTTTCCTAAGAGCATACCGAATTTGTAGTCCTGAGTTTCTTGGCGAGGAATGTACATACATTCACCAAACATTCACTGAGTTTACATTTTCCTTCTTTTTTCATTTAAAGACTGCAAGAAAAGAGCTCTTCAGATCATTAATTCTCCACGCATCAACACCGCTCCCAACAAAGTTATAATTTTTCCCAACAGCCAGGTTGCACTAAACGTCTCAAAAGTACTTTCACAAGCTAACACCAGAGTCGCCATCGCTTCTAGCACTTCAAAAAAGGATCTAACCAGGACAAAACCCAAGCACCACGAACCAGTCAATGCAGGAGTTTACCCCTATACCCTGTGGAGGCTGTGACAAGATCTACGTAGGTTTAAAACAGCAAGAAACCTCGACACCCGCCTCAATGAACACATTTACGCATGTAGGAACGACAACTTAAACAACGCCTGTGTACAACAAACCCAAAATTTCCCCCAATCTCTCATGAAATTTCAGAGACGCCCAATTAGTGATCAAAGAAACTAATTTCCGCAGACGCAAGTGCCTTGAATCAGCACTGATCGCTGTTTCGAATAAATTAAACAAAATAACGGCAGCTTCACCATCTCCGAAGTCTTAGCAAGAATCCTCCTGAAAACAGTAAACCCTGCCATCACATAGTCTCTCCTGTTAAAACTACACAAAGCACATTACAGAGACTGAACACTGAAAAAAACCTGCCTCTTTCCAGTCTATATTTGTCCAACCTATTTTTATGTTACCCAAGTAATAGCTTTTATATTCTTTTACTCATGTACGAATTAATTGCTCTAACATATTGTATTATTTTTGTTACTACTACTACTACTACTACTACTACCACTAGTGAACATCGAAATGGTACCTCACTAGTATTGCACCTCACTCAGAGCCTTTTATACCCTCTGTGTCCATGTATTGTTTGTAATGGCTTGATAAAGCTCCTGGAGAGCGAAACGTTGCCACAATAAATGTCACATTAGTTGCACTTGTGTCCTTTTACTTTACATATTGTCGGTAATTCTACCAACTTTATTACTTTTGAGACGTTCAGTGCAACCTGGCTGTTGGGAAGATTTATAACTTTGTTGGGAGTGGTGTTGATGCGTGGAGAATTAATGATCTTAAGAGCTCTTTTCTTGCAGTCTTTGATGAAAAAAGAAGGAAAATGTAACTCAGTGAATGTTTGGTGAATGTATGTACATTCCTCGTCAAGAAACTCAGGACTACAAATTCGGTATGCTCTTAGGAAAAACCCGATGATGATGCCTCTTTTGGTCTTGGTATCTTGACTGGAATAGAAGTGTGTTGGCCAATCCACAGAATTGTACTGGCCATTCTGTCTGTCTTCTCTCTCGCCCGAAGCTTCTCACTTCTCACTTTCTTGAAACAGTTGTTCTAGTCTCGGCTAAAAGCTGCAGATAAAGCCTAATGAAAATAAATGGTATAAAGTACCGACACAATGGAAACATAAACACATATGCAGTTTAATTAATGTGATCTTTATTGACAACGTTTCGCCCACACATTGGGCTTTTTCAAGTCACAAACAGATTTGTTTGTGACTTGAAAAAGCCCACTGTGTGGGCGAAACGTTGTCAATAAAGGATCACATTAAACTACATATGTGTTTATGTTTCCAGATAAAGCCTAATTTTAAAACCAACAAGATTTATCTTAGGGACAGGTCTGCGTCTTTTAAATAAGGACGATAAGGCCATCACTAAGATCAGCACTTCTTAATAGGTAACACATTAAGTTTATAATAAAGTTGGTAGAATTACCGACAATATGTAAAGTAAAAGGACACAAGTGCAACTAATGTGAGAGCGAAACGTTGCCACAATAAAATGTCACATTAGTTGCACTTGTGTCCTTTTACTTTACACATTAAGTTTATTTCTTAAAACAGCTGTATCCTGGCAGGAGCACTATCATATACACTATCATATAATCTCTTCTCCCCCAAGAAAATAAAAATATAAAAAAATGAAGAGAATCTATGACTTTCCTAAGGTCTATTATTTTATTGCTAACCATTAAACTGAAAAATCCCTAAAATATATAGAAGGTTAACGAACTAGTTACAGTATCTTCCTTTCGGTTACACATCTTTTAAACATTAATACAAAAATTTAGCTTCTCAGTTTCTGATAAATAAAGTTTTTTCAATAGTACCTTAGGAACCTATGAAAATTGAACCCTATTTCCTTTCAACATCTACTCTTTTCCCCATGTTCCTTATCGTTCATTCTTTAATTCCTGATCAATTACAGTACTTCCAGACATCCTCCCAAAGCTCTCCAAAACTTTCTACCTCTTCTCTAAACAGTTGTAATAATGTTATTAGTATTAAGGTTCTCATTATCACGTATTTTGTGCTTATAGACTACAGGTGCCAAGATAAGTGTATCATAAAGTGTATCATAGAGGCTTTTATGTTTCCAGCTGGAGGTTGCAGTGAGCCCCAACTCCAACTTATCTCATTTAACGAGACAATCAAGGCACGCCTCCCTCTCCGACTTTCACTGGCTTGGTCGCCACCACAACGAACACACGACCCACAGTATTAAAACAGAACAAGCAGTAGAAGAAATAGATCTGGAAGAAAGAGCAGCAACATCGGGACGCGAGAGACGGGCACTGATGAAGGGCCTGCTGGGCTGGGAGACTCTACTGGAGGACCTCAGTGACTCATTTTTTACTCCCGCTCAGTCACAACTTACTGGCCATGGTATGTGGATCTGTGGTGAGCCTTAATAACTTTGTGGATATATGTGTATTAACCCAAAACTGCTTTAACTACATGTTATTCTAGTAACTCCCTACCTCCGCCCAAACATCACAACTCTCTTTCTGCATATTTTATTGCCCTCAACTTACACTATATCTTCTCTCATGCCTGCGTGTTATCCCGTGGCTACAGAACGATTGGCGTGGGATAACTACTATCGGTATTCAAGCATCTCCAGCTTTGCCAGGAAGCTGGCTCAGCAGCACCGCACTGTGGAGTGCCTCCAACTGGGTCACACTGCTGAGGGACGCCCACTGCTGGCCCTCATCATTGCTACTGAGTGCATGACCCTTTTCTTATTTGTTGTTTCTTTGGTTATTATACATTTTCTGCATGATGATTTATATATAAATTCAGAATAATGTCACGTGATTGTACATACAGATAACACTATGTAACACAATTTTCGATCATGGTAAGTGTTATTTTCCAACTTCTTTTTTTGCAAAACAATAGTAAATGCCCATTATTCCTTTTAACTTTAATTTTGTGATTTACAGGATGAATTTTGTATAAACATGGCTAAATTTCAGTATCTTCTGCTAGTTTTGGATGTAAAACAAACACATATAATAAAATAAATAAAATTTACATAACTAAGATAAAATTTACACAAATATTATTTTAAATTTTCTGAAACACATTTACAAAGTTAAAAATGAGCAGTTTTTCTACATAAGCAACAAATCACTATACCCGTTTAAGCCCCCAAATGTAGTCTGCCATTATGTTTTCATTATAAGATCCCTGATATCTGTGTTCAAAGTTCACTATATCTTGGTGGAAGCGCTCCCCTTGTTCCTCTGAGTATGCTCCCATATTCTCCTTGAAATTGTCAAAATGACAATTTCATCTGTAGGGACATCCTACAGCCCATCTGATCATAGTTTTTTTTACCAAGGATTCAATTGTCAGCCTTGTTGTTGCCCAGAAAGCCCTGTGCTACAGCAACAAAACTCTCACAGGCTTCCTTTTCCTTCTCTGTGAGCTTCTTTGGAAATTCTGAGCACTCCATTACTTTCCTGACTTGTGGCACAGTGAAGATGCCAGCCTTCACCTTTGTCTCTGATAGCTTGGGAAAGAAGTCTTGAAGATACTTGAAGGCTGCAGACTCTTTGTCAAGAACTGTAACAAACTGTTTCGTTATCCGTAGTTTGATGTGTAATGGAGGGAACAGAACCTTTTGAAGATCCACCAATGGTTTATATTTGATATTATATCTTCCTACTGAGAACTCGGTGCTTCCTCTGGTAATGTGCTGCTCTGTCTCTACTATCTTAATGACAGAGATAACAGGGAAACTTGGTAAAAACCTCCGTGGAGTCCCATCAAAAAAGCCACCATTTTGAAGTCTCCAATAATCTCCCAGACATACTTATCATAGTTCAAAGCTTCCAGTAGAAGTTTGACACTGTTGTAGTCCTCCTTAAGATGCACTGAATGAACCAAAGAGATGGATACTTGTTCCCATTGTGCAGAAGTACAACTTTTAGGCTTCTGGAGGAGCTGTCAATGAAGAATCTCCACTCATCTGGATTGCATGCAATTCCAATTGCATCAAACATGCCTGATACATCATTACAGTAGCACAACCTGTCTTCATTAGTGAAGAAGCTTCAGAAATGTTGATGACGTTTTCTTTGGCTTGTTACTTGCACACTTTCATCCACCATGTCCCACTCCTTGAGCCTTAAAATCCAAAGCTCAGTATTTGACTTTGTCAAACCAAGATCTCTGATAAAGTCATCAAGGTTAGTTTGGTTTGGGTAGTAATTATTCCTCCCAACAGCTGCATCTGTGAGATCATAGTCTTGTTCACTGTGCTCTTCATTTTCTGATTTGCTACTTTCTTCTTCTGACGGTTGACTTCTTTCTGGAGGTGTAGGTACAGGAAGATCAGCACTGTGTGGTACTGGTGCAATAGAAGAGGGAAGACCTGGATAAGAAATAGCAGGTAGGTTCATTTTTCCCAGTTCGGTGTTTGGAAGGATCCACCACCAGATAGAAGTAGCAGTTGGTTGTGTGATCAGTGGGTTCACAACATATTCTAGAAACACCAAACTTCATGCTCTTTTTTCTCCACTATATCATCCTGTAAGTAAAGCAAAAGAATTTTATTTTCTTTTACGCACAATTCATTTAAAAAATGTTCCAAGTCAAGATTTTACCCTTCATATAACTAATGACTTTCTTACCTTCCAATGTTATCTTACAATGTTGACAAGCAACATGAGGCGCCCAGGTCTTGTCTTGGTCCACAACTGACATGACAAAATATGCTTTGTAAGCTTCATACATTTCTTTAGATGTTGTTACAGAGAACTTCTTTACTCTTGTCTTAATGAACTGACCACATATGTAGCAGAATGTATCTGGAGAATGATTGCAGCCTCTTGATGCCATTTCACTTCTTCTGATGTGTCTTCTCAGGCAGCCAGAGATGAACTGAATGATGGTTTGTGAGTCCTTGTTTTTATATTTGCCAAATAAAACCCTAGAACATCAATCTTGAAAGTGTTCCAGAAGTGTCCTGACCACTAAAGCAAAGTTCTGGCATCAAAATTGCTTATTTTAAATTTTGTTTAGTTATAAATAATTGGGAAATGATGCTTGATTTCCCAGGAACACGACAAAAGTGAAATTTTGTTACATAGTGTAATAAGTAATTAAAAACTGTTTGAAAAAACAACTCAAGTCACACTTATATTGTGTAATCTTGACTCTGTATATTGTGTTATATGTTTCCAGACTCATGTGTCCACTCTTTTTTTTTTCCTCCTCCTTCTTCCCGCCTCCTCCCACCCAAACACACATGCTTAAATTATACAAAAAAAAAAAAAAACTTAGAAATGTCCAAAGACGACTTACAAAATGGATAACTAACAAACACAACACACACACACACACACACACACACACACACACACACACACCACCAACGACTACCCCAACTCAACACAAAACACACACACAACCACACAACACACACACTCACACACACACACACATACACACAATGGTCTGTAATATACCACTGTGGATAAAATACTTTGACGTATCTTGACATTTCTGAATGAGTTGTCTCTGAATTCATTAATTTGATCGCACTCCAGTACATAATGACGCAGGGTGTGACACTAGTTCATCTGGTAAAGTTTACATTTCGTTTGGTCTACATCTGATGGTGAGGATTTAACCTGCCAAGGATACTTATAACCCAGCAGGAGCCGGGCGGTAGTGACATCAAAGAGTCTGTTGGATGCACCATAGACATGTGGCTCCTCCTGCATGATAGAATGATGATCGATGGACTGACTTGTGTCACTCTCCGTAAGTCTTAAGTCAATAAAATTCAGTTGAAGTTCTTTTCGTATTACTGTTCTCAAACTGCTAACTGACAAGCCAAGACTGTAATCTACTCCCTCTTGGAAAGCATACAGCTTAGCCAATTTATCAGTTCTATCATGCATCTGAAGACCAATGTGAGATGGAATCCACAGCATGTGCACTATGACTCCACTGTCCACAATCCTACCATACCTATGTCTGGCTTCTGACACAAGCATGCCACAATTTATCTTAATGTTAGAGCATTTATGGATGACAGAGAATCAGTTACAATTAAAGTGTCAACCTTAGATACATGGATCGCATTTGAGTGCAAGAGTATGGCAAACAGTTCTGTTTGAAGGGTAGAGGCCCAGTTATTGATGTTTGTTCCAATTTCTTTATGTGAGCCATCACTCTGTATGACAACAGCAGCACTACCAGCTGCACCAGTGGATTGGTGAACAGAACCATCAACGTAAATAATTTGTGAGAGAGTGTGCTGTGTGACTAAGTTATCAATACAGCTTAAGGCATCATGTTTGGCTTCAAGGCGAAGCTTTGATTTTGATTTAAAAAGTAGTTTGGGGGGAAATGGAGGAATGGTAGTTTGGAATGGGGTAACATTCCATGGAGCGGAGAAGTGCCGCTGTTGCCTTACTTGACATAGATCATGTATCTGATTCATGCGGAGGTCGGTTCCAGTTTTTTCGATCCACCTGGAGGGGTGTTCACCAGTGCTGAGAAAGTTTGGAGGGCTTCTGTGCAGGGGTTTGAATGGGCTTGCCTGAGCATATTAACCCCAATTAGGATATTTCTTTCAGCAACACGATCTCTGATGCTTGGAATATCAAGTTCTTTTTGCATATTTAAAATTTTGGCAGTACGAGGGCATCCTCAAATGATCCTCATTGCTTCGTTCTGCAGTTTTTCCAGCCCTCCAAGCTTCCAGTCAGACACGAGTGTAAGTAGTGGCGCAGCATAATCAACCAATGATCTAATATAAGCAAGATACATCATTTTTACAAATTTAACATTAGCACCATACCTGGGGTGAAACCCAGCCACAACTCTAAGTGCTCTCAGCCTTTCTATGTATTGGCGACAAAGTCTCGTTACAACAGGTCCAAGTAGTGGAACCTCAAAGCCTAGATACCTGTATCTGCTTACATATTCTAGAAGAGACCCATCATGCAACTGGATCATGGCGAACTGTGCCTCTCTGTCGAGGAGGACGCCTATTGAGTATCTTTGTTTTATCAGTAGAGACTATCAACCCCAGGTCCTGACACGAAGCTAGTACATGATTAAGAATTTTTTGGGTGTTGGAGAATCCGGCAGTGTGAATCATTATATCATCACAAAACTAATCATAATGATGAGGTTGGCTAGGCATAGCATTAAGTAATGCATTAATTAGAATATTGAATAAAGTGGGACTGAGCACACCTCCCTGTGGGGTTCCCAATTCAAAGTCTTTAGTTATACTTCTATGTCCCTGGAACAACACAGAAGACTTTCTGTTGGACAGGTAGCCTTTAATCCAGCGGAGAAGCCATCCTCCAACATCCATTCTTGGAAGTTCACTAATGATTGCATGTCGGTTGGCTACATCAAAAGCAGATTTAAGGTCAAGGAAAGCAGTGTATGAGCTGTCAGTGTGCAGGGTGAGAAAGGTGACTATGCAATGATGCGCGCTTCTTCCATGCATGAAATAATGCAACCGGGGAGACAAAAATTGTTTGATTCTGTACATGAGACGATTAAGAATCATCCTCTAGAATGTTTTGCACTAGCAACAAATTTTTCGTTCCCCCCTTCCCTCTCACCCCTCACCTTCTTTCCTTCTTTTACATACCCTTCCAAACTCGTCCTCCAACCTCTGCATCTTCTCTTCAGAATCTCCCAAAAGCACACTGCCATCAGCAAAAAGCAATTGTGATAATTTTCACTATGTGTTAGATTCCTCATTTTCCAATCCAACACCACTCAATAAAAAAAGTTAATTTCTACGGCATACCTGATGGGATGGGGTATATCTCTCTGGGGCAGGAGTGATAACATTAACCAACTTGGTTGATGAGGCCATTACTGAGTTGTTTAGGACTTTAAACTGATAGAAAATAGAGGTATGGGTGTGTGTGGGAAACAAACAGGAATATTACCCAGGAAACCTCAGGGAGTAATTAGCTTTTTAAGGTTTTCTATACCAATAGTAGGAGCATTAGTAATAAGATCAAACCATACCCCCGGCCGGGATTGAACCCTCGGTCATAGAGTCTCAAAACTCCAGCCCGTCGCGTTAGCCACTAGACCAGCTAGCCACAATAAGATTCACCCAACTAAGTATATTTCTACACCATAGGAAGGTTAGCACAGGCACCACTGTGACCACAAATGCAAGTTTTTACAGACGAATCTCCAGCTAGCGTGGCCGTGACGAACTCTAGCTCAAGTCCCTTCACTGCCGTCAACATGACTCAAGAAATCGTAATGACACGATTGCAAACAAACCATACCCCCGGCCGGGATTGAACCCGCGGTCGGGCTGGAGTTTTGAGACTCTATGATCGCGGGTTCAATCCCGGCCGGGGGTATGGTTTGTTTGCAATCGTGTCATTACGATTTCTTGAGTCAAGTAATAAGATAAATGAGATAAGATTAATTGCCTTCTGAATGCAACATACAGAGCTGTAAATTATTCCACACCGATAGGGTTAACAGGAAAGGAGGCGGAGTAGTGAGGTATGTCAGAGATAATTTAAATTGTTGTGCTAGACAAGATATAAAATTAGAAGCATCAGACACTGAATTTGTTTGCCTACAGTTTCTCGAGGTTCGTGAAAACTAATCTTGGGTGTGGGTTACAGGACCCCAAACTTCTGTGAAACGAGATTCATAAGGCATCCTGATACAAAAATGTTGTGTTAATGGAAGATTGTAACTTTAGACAAATTGTGTGGAGCAATTTGACAAAATCTTGAGTCTAGCGACTTTCTTGATGCGATCCACCATTGCTTTCTAAAACAGTTTGTGACACAGTAAAATAAAGGAAATAATCTGCTTGGTTTGGTTCTTGCCAACAAGGAATCACTGATTAATGATCATGAGGTTAATGATTAGCAATCACTAATCTCTCATTTTCAATATATCATGGAATTACCCTAATAACTACAACCAAGCCAATGTCCCTAACTTCTTCTTGGCTGATTTAATAGGACTGATAAATTACCTGGGTGGGTTGAACTGGCATGACCTGACTATAGGTCAGGTAGGTAGTGATGGTTGCAGATGTGACATTTTTCAAAGCATAACTCTAGCTTTTCAGACTACTTATGCTCTAAATAGGGAAACTAGAACAGTCAAAAAATGACCCTAGGTCAAAAGAGAAACATTTACAGGTGAATCACAAGGGGAGATGGGCAGTTAAGACAACAACATATTCAACTTAAAAACGAAATTAAAAGAAGGAATGAGAAAAGCAACAAGAGATTATGAAGTTAAAGTCGCAAGGGATTCGGGGATTTACCCAAATGGTTTCTTTCAGGTATATAGGAGGAAGATAAGGACAAGATAGACCCACTCAAATGTTGCTCAGATTAACTCACTGACAATGACAAAAAAAATGTGTTCAATTTTTAACACTCATTTCCTGTCTTGTAGACAAATGCAAAGTCTTGAAGCTCGGGAAAGTAAATAACTTTTGCATCTATAAACTAAATAACATACAGCCTGGCTATACATAATTCGAAAAGGACTTGGGAGTTATGGTCAGCACGAACCTGAAGGCAGGACAGCAGTGCCTAAAAGCAGGTAATAAAGAAAACGGATTACTGGTTTATATCAAGAAGTATAAAGAACAGGAGTCCAGAGGTTATTCTACAGCACTACACATCATTACTAAGGTCTCGCTTAGATTATGCAGCTCAGTTCTGGTCTCCATATTACAGAATGAATATAAAGTCATTAGAAATTATTCAGAGAAGAATGACAAAATTAATCAATTGCTTAAGAAATCTTCCATACGAAGAAAGACTGAAATCCCTTAAATTACATTCACTTGTAAGACAAAGAATGAGGGGAGACATGACTGAAGTGTGTAAGTGAAAGATTGTTTAAACCTTGGTAATAGATACCGACAAACTGGTTTAGAAAGACGCGTAAGCAAACGCTAGGAAATATATATTAGAAAACAAAGAGATCAAGGTCCCAAGACCGAAGTCTGTATAAATAAGTGGAGAGTGAGATGTGAGTGATGCACGGTGACCTGAAGAATGCCATATTGGGATGACGACAGGTCGACAATATGATCACGTGACTCCTGTGTTGTTAGGTAGATGGTGCTTTGCCCCTAGTTGACTGTCATGTATGGTAATGTTTTAGAAATTTTGTGGTTTCCAGTATTGTTCTATGGTGTCCGTAACGGCGATTAGGGAGGCTTCCAGACATCATCAAACAAATCTCCCCCTGAAAAAGTCTTCTAAGCAGTTGATAGTGCTCCCATGTGGTGATACTGCGACGAATACTCGCCAGGTACTTGCTAAGAGCAACATAAACATTTCCACCATAAACATATCATCTATCAAAGACCTCACTACGAAACGTAGCCCCACACCTCTAGCTTCCACAGAAGGCGTCTACACAACCCCCTGTGGATAACGTCCGAAGAAATATGTAGGAGAAACAGGCAAAAATCTTTCGGTCCACCTGAACGAACATTGAAAAGCCAGAGACGATTTAAGGTAGACTTCTGTCCTTCATAGGAACTCCACGGAACACTGATGAAGTGGGATGTGGCACAGTTCGTCCTCACCGAACGAAACCTTAGATGCCGACAATGTCTGGAAGCCTCGCTAATCGCCGTCACTGACACCTTTGAACATATCTGCCCAATTCGGTTATATTTGATTTTATTTTGTAAGTGTTTATTTATTAATATTTGTTTTCATTAATTTCTCATTTTGGACCTAATTATTTTAATAATCAGTGTATATGTTCCAAGAAGAATTTCTCTTATTATGTACTCTGACTGAATATATTATATGTATACACATTAATGACTTTGGCAGTGATTAGTGTTAACAGTTGTTAGTGTACAGGTGATATGTTACTTCATATAACCCTCAAATCAATGTTAATTTTGGTGAAAAACAAAAATAATTTATCTTTGGGGTTGTACAGAGTTTAAGGCATTCTGCTGACAATCGTGTTTTTACCTTGCAGCGCCATCAGGATGGCCAGAGCTTACACCAGAGAGGTTCTGTCTGCACGCAGACACCAAGTTAAAGCAAGGACCATGCAGAAGAACCTCCAGGAGTATATGACGAGTGACGAACTAAGTGTTGAGACTTTGATCAAAAGAAGCGAGAAGGGAAGGAAAGAGAAAGGCCACTGGGTTCAGGGTAACATAAAAGAGGAAACAGATATGGCACATAGTGATGTTGCTCAGAGACAAATGACGTCTTTGAAATTTTCAAGAAAGAAAAGTAAGATGAGAAAACCTGAGAGACTGAGACAAAGGCAAACACTGAAAGTTGAAGAGGGAAGCAAGAGAAAGCTACGGAAGAAAGTTGTGGAGCAGAAGAAAGCTGATAAATGGAGTCTGAGGAAGAAAAGGGTGATGAGTAAGACACAGAATGGTGAAACGAGAGCAAAGGGCCGATCAGGAGGCAAGCTGCGAGATAAAGCAAAAGATATCTCAAGAAGCAAACTACGGAAGGAAGCTGGAAGATCCAAGCCAGTCATCCTCATTGAAGCAGGTGAGTCATTGAAGCAGGTGTGTCACTGAAGCAGGTGTGTCATTGAAGCAGGTGTGTCATTGAAGCAGGTGAGCCATTGAAGCAGGTGAGTCATTGAAGCAGGTGTGTCATTGAAGTAGGTGTGTCAATGAAGCAGGTGAGTCACTGAAGCAGGTGAGTCATTGAAGCAGGTGAGTCATTGAAGCAGGTGAGTCATTGAAGCAGGTGTGTCATTGAAGCAGGTGAGCCATTGAAGCAGGTGTGTCATTGACGTAGGTGTGTCAATGAAGCAGGTGAGTCACTGAAGCAGGTGAGTCATTGAAGCAGGTGAGTCATTAAAGCAGGTGAGTCATTGAAGCAGGTGTGTCATTGAAGTAGGTGTGTCATTGAAGCAGGTGTGTCATTGAAGTAGGTGTGTCATTGAAGCAGGTGTGTCATTGAAGCAGGTGAGTCGTTGAAGCAGGTGTACCATTGAAGCAGGTGTGTCATTGAAGCAGGTGTGCCATTGAAGCAGGTGTGTCATTGAAGCAGGTGTGTCATTGAAGCAGGTGTGTCATTGAAGCAGGTGTGCCATTGAAGCAGGTGTGGCATTGAAGCAGGTGTGTCATTGAAGCAGGTGTGTCATTGAAGCAGGTGTGTCATTGAAGTAGGTGTGTCATTGAAGCAGGTGTGTCATTGAAGCAGGTGAGTCGTTGAAGCAGGTGTACCATTGAAGCAGGTGTGTCATTGAAGCAGGTGTGCCATTGAAGCAGGTGTGTCATTGAAGCAGGTGTGTCATTGAAGCAGGTGAGTCGTTGAAGCAGGTGTACCATTGAAGCAGGTGTGTCATTGAAGCAGGTGTGCCATTGAAGCAGGTGTGTCATTGAAGCAGGTGTGTCATTGAAGCAGGTGTGTCATTGAAGCAGGTGTGCCATTGAAGCAGGTGTGGCATTGAAGCAGGTGTGTCATTGAAGCAGGTGTGTCATTGAAGCAGGTGTGCCATTGAAGCAGGTGTGCCATTGAAGAGAGGTGTGCCATTGAAGCAGGTGAGTCATTGAAGCAGGTGTGTCATTGAAGCAGGTGTGTCATTGAAGCAGGTGTGCCATTGAAGCAGGTGTGCCATTGAAGCAGGTGAGTCATTAAAGCAGGTGTGTCATTGAAGCAGGTGTGTCATTGAAGCAGGTGTGGCATTGAAGCAGGGGTGCCATTGAAGCAGGTGTGTCATTGAAGCAGGTGTGTCATTGAAACAGGTGTGCCATTGAAGCAGGTGTGCCATTGAAGCAGGTGAGTCATTGAACCAGGAGTGTCATTGAAGCAGGTGTGTCATTGAAGCAGGTGTGTCATTGAAGCAGGTGTGACATTGAAGCAGGTGTGTCATTGAAGCAGGTGTCATTGAAGCAGGTGTGCCATTGAAGCAGGTGTGCCATTGAAGAGAGGTGTGCCATTGAAGCAGGTGAGTCATTGAAGCAGGTGTGTCATTGAAGCAGGTGTGTCATTGAAGAAGGTGTGCCATTGAAGCAGGTGTGCCATTGAAGCAGGTGAGTCATTAAAGCAGGTGTGTCATTGAAGCAGGTGTGTCATTGAAGCAGGTGTGGCATTGAAGCAGGGGTGCCATTGAAGCAGGTGTGTCATTGAAGCAGGTGTGTCATTGAAGCAGGTGTGCCATTGAAGCAGGTGTGCCATTGAAGCAGGTGAGTCATTGAACCAGGAGTGTCATTGAAGCAGGTGTGTCATTGAAGCAGGTGTGTCATTGAAGCAGGTGTGACATTGAAGCAGGTGTGTCATTGAAGCAGGTGTCATTGAAGCAGGTGTGCCATTGAAGCAGGTGTGCCATTGAAGCAGGTGTGTCATTGAAGCAGGTGTGCCATTGAAGCAGGTGTGTCATTGAAACAGGTGTGTTATTGAAACAGGTGTGGCATTGAAGCAGGTGTGCCATTGAAGCAGGTGAATCAATGAAGCAGGTGTGTCATTGAAGCAGGTGTGTCATTGAAGCAGGTGTGCCATTGAAGCAGGTGTGTCATTGAAGCAGGTGAATCAATGAAGCAGGTGTGTCATTGAAGCAGGTGTGTCATTGAAGCAGGTGTGACATTGAAGCAGGTGTGTCATTGAAGCAGGTGTGTCATTGAAGCAGGTGTGCCATTGAAGCAGGTGTGTCATTGAAGCAGGTGTGTCATTGAAGCAGGTGTGTCATTGAAGCAGGTGTGCATTGAGCAGGTGTGCCATTGAAGCAGGTGAGTCATTGAAGCAGGTGTGTCATTGAAGCAGGTGTGTCATTGAAGCAGGTGTGCCATTGAAGCAGGTGTGCCATTGAAGCAGGTGAGTCATTGAAGCAGGTGTGTCATTGAAGCAGGTGTGTCATTGAAGCAGGTGTGACATTGAAGCAGGTGTGTTATTGAAGCAGGTGTGTCATTGAAGCAGGTGTGTCATTGAAGCAGGTGAGTCATTGAAGCAGGTGTGCCATTGAAGCAGGTGTGTCATTGAAGTAGGTGTGTCATTGAAGCAGGTGTGTCATTGAAGCAGGTGAGTCATTGATGCAGGTGTGCATTGAAGCAGTGTGTCATGAAGGTGTGACATTGAAGCAGGTGTGTTATGAAGCAGGTGTGTCATTGAGCAGGTGTGTCATTGAAGCAGGTGAGTCATTGAAGCAGGTGTGCCATTGAAGCAGGTGTGTCATTGAAGCAGGTGTGCCATTGAAGCAGGTGTGTCATCGAAGCAGGTGTGTCATTGAAGCAGGTGTGTCATTGAAGCAGTGTGCCATTGAAGCAGGTGTGTCATTGAAGCAGGTGAGTCATTGAAGCAGGTGTGCCATTGAAGCAGGTGTGTCATTGAAGCAGGTGTGTCATTGAAGCAGGTGTGCCATTGAAGCAGGTGTGTCATTGAAGCAGGTGTGCCATTGAAGCAGGTGTGTCATTGAAGCAGGTGTGTCATTGAAGCAGGTGTGCCATTGAAGCAGGTGTGACATTGAAGCAGGTGAGTCATTGAAGCAGGTGTGCCATTGAAGCAGGTGTGTCATTGAAGCAGGTGTGCCATTGAAGCAGGTGTGTCATCGAAGCAGGTGTGTCATTGAAGCAGGTGCGTCATTGAAACAGGTGTGCCATTGAAGCAGGTGTGTCATTGAAGCAGGTGTGTCTTTATAACAAACATGCTTGCATAGATTAAATATAAAAAAAGATAAAATATTAAATATGTAAAGTGGTAATTTATAGTAAACATTACAAGATGGTGGACGCTGGAGACAAGATGGTGGACGCTGGAGACAAGATGGTGGACGCTGGAGACAAGATGGTGGACACTGGAGACAAGATGGTGGACACTGGAGAGGAGACGAATGATTGGTGGAACGATTAAATGTGACATAAAGGAGAACAAATTAGGATATAAGAAAGAGAAAGTTCTGGTGATAGATTCCTAAGATGAGAGACCTGGGTAACTTAGGAAGTAAAATTAATGAAAGATGTTAGTTAGATGGGGGAGATGGAGGTATTAGAAATGTTTTAGGATTTGGGAAATAATTGATAATAAGAGTAAAATGGTGATTTCAAGACTAGTTAGAGGAATGAATAGCAAAAACTGAGATGAGAAAAGATTAAGGTTAGGGTAAAGGAAGTGAGGTAATGAGTAGGGAGAGTGCGAGGAAGGTAAGGAAGGTGGATGTACGTGGAGAAGAAAGGAACGAAGGATGTAAAGACTAGAACTGTGTGGGCAGTTCATTCTCATTTTACTAAATCCTTGTTAAATGTGATATACAATGTTAGTTTAATAATGCTCACATTTTTTTTTGTCCTCCGCTATTTTCTTTATTAAGTGTTCTCAGAAGGTCCCTTTTAAGTGGCTGCCAGAAATTTTTTTCTTTCAAATTATCGTTTTTTGTTCACTCAAAACACTTCTCCGTAATACTTCAAAGTTTCAGCGTTAGTACATGGCAACTATGGCAAGACTCTACCTGGTATGTGCAGCTGCACTATGATCATAGTTATTCAAACCATCACAGTTGCCTGGAGAGGCTCCGAAAATTTTCCAAAACACTTCGCGGCGTAGCTTCAAAAATAAAGAAAAAAAAAAGTTGGCTCTTAATTCAACGTAGAGATGTATCGGATATCTGCATCAGCATCCGCGGAACATCCGCACAATTTCTTACATCCGCATCAGCATCCCCGGAACATCCGCACAATTTCTTACATCCGCATCAGCATCCGCGGAACATCCGCACAATTTCTTACATCCGCCTCTGCAAAATAAGTAAGACATCCTCTTACACATACACATCCGCGGATAACTAAATTTTCACATCTGATACATCTCTAATTCAACGTCGGCAGAGATTGAAATTTAATTGTGTAGGCGCACATCTGCCTTTTTCACATGTTCAACGGTGGGAAATTTTGATTCCCGTTAAGTCCCGTTAAATGTATTTTAGTCTATGTCTTGTGAATACCTTCCTTATTAAATACCTTAATCATCTTATTACCAGAATACTACCAATTATCTTTAATTTGTATCCCGGAAAATTTATTAGTATGATAAATTCTTTAAAATTCTGCTATCAACATAAAATGATTGGAATAAATGTGATAACTGAAGTTTACCTCCAATCATCGGTGGAATAAATGTGATAACTGAAGTTTACCTCCAATCATCGTTGGAAAAATGTAATAACTGAAGTTACCTCCAATCATCGTGGAATAATGTAATACTGAAGTTTACCTCCAATCATCGTTGAATAAATGTAATAACTGAAGTTTACCTCCAATCATCGTTGAATAAATGTAATAACTGAAGTTTACCTCCAATCATCGTTGGAATAAATGTAATAACTGAAGTTTACCTCCAATCATCGTTGGAATAAATGTAATAACTGAAGTTTACCTCCAATCATCGTTGGAATAAATGTGATAACTGAAGTTAACCTCCAATCATTTTTTTTTATTACTTGGACATAATACATAGTTGCACAAGGTATTCCAGTAGTTGGGTTTACCTGGCCTGGTATACCGAGCATTATGGCAGCTTAAAGTTAGACTAACTAAGCAGTGATATATTCAGTGGTAAAAACTACGGTAAACAATTTACAACATGAAGTACAAATGAGCATTTTAAACAATGAAATTTGAACATTTCGATTATGAAACATTATAGTTGTACAAATTTGTAACATTACAATGTATATTATAAAAAAATGATCAATATACTATATGTAATCATTCAATTTATTAATCCGATCAAGTCGAATAAAATCAATGATCTGTAGTGCAGAAACAGGTCATATGGTGATGAGTTACTGTGCGTTCAAGAGAATGGATTATTCTATTAGGTAATGTAATTAAAAACATAGTTTGATAGGATCACGGGTTATACATTTATGAAATACAGTTATTCAATCATTATTTAGTTTTGGGTGAGGAAGTGGTTTTTAAGAAGTGTCTTGAATTGATAAACAGACAATGTTTCTTTGGTAATCACTGGTAATGAATTCCAAATTTTTGGAGCCTTTTATGTGCATTGAGCTTTTACATAGTGTGAGATGGACACGAGGAACATCAAAGAGTGATCTGTGCCTTGTATTATGGTCATGTGTTCTGTTGAGGTTGGTAAGCAGAAGTTTGAGGGGAGGGTTTATATCTGGCTTTAGTGTTCTATGTATGTGGTAGGGACAATAAGTATGGATGTTTTGTACGGTGAGTTAGTTTAGAGTTTTGAATATTGGTGGAGTATGCTGTCTGGAGTGGGAATTTGTTATCGTTCTGACTGCAGCCTTTTGTTGGGTAATTAATGGTCTGAGATGATTTATTGTTGCTGAGTCCCATGCACAGATTCCATAGTTGAGATAGGGGTAAATGAGTGAATGATACAGGGCCAGGAGAGCTGATTGTGGAACATAGTACCGTATCTTCGATAGTATGCCTACGGTCTTGGAGATTTTCTTGGAAATTTGTTGTACATGTGTTTGAAATTTGAGTCTATTATCAAGGTGGATTCCTAAGAATTTTCCCTCTGTGAGCTTTGTGATAGGTGATCCATTTATCATGATGTTAAGAGGGACGTCTGTAGTTCTGTTACCAATTTTATGAAGTAGGTTTTGTCAATGTTTAGTGTAAGTTTGTTAGTCCTCATCCAGGTAGATATTTTCTGTAATTCGGTATTTACAGTATTGGCTAGTATAACTGTGCTTGGGTGAGAGAAGACGTATATAGTGTCATCTGCAAATTGTGTGGGTTTGAGTAGTTGCAATGCATTTGGTAGGTCGTTTATGTAAATGAGAAAGAGAAGAGGGCCTACGACACTTCCCTGTGGGACACCAACAGTAATTGTGTACACATATTGGCTTCTGTTGCTAAGTTATGACTTTAGGTAGTTGAGGGAGTGCCCTCTTATACCACAGTGGGATAATTTTAAGTGCAACAAATCATGGTCAACTGTATCAAATTTTTGTCGTAAATCAATGAAGATCCCCAGTGGGACTTCTTTTTTCTCGAGTGAGGTATATTAGTTCCAGCATGTGTATAATAGCATCATTCGTATTTTTATTAGGCCTAAACCCAAACTGACAGGGGTTGAGTATGTTGTGGGAGTTGAGGTAGGAATAGATTCGCTTATGAATTAAATTTTCAAGGATTTTAGAGAGAAGGGGTAAGTTGGATATTGGCCTATAGTTATTCAGGTCTGTTTGGTCTCCTCCTTTATGAATCAGGGTGACCCTTGCTATTTTGAGAACTGTAGGAAAGGTAGAGGATCCAATGGATTTGTTAAAGAGTGTTGCAATGATTGGTGACAGTATTTGTGACGCTTTTTTGTATATAAAGGTTGGTAAGGTGGCTCGGTGGCCTGGTGGCTAAAGCTCCCGCTTCACACACGGAGGGCCCGGGTTCGATTCCCGGCGGGTGGAAACATTTCGACACGTTTCCTTACACCTGTTGCCCTGTTCACCTAGCAGCAAATAGGTACCTGGGTGTTAGTCGACTGGTGTGGGTCGCATCCTGGGGGACAAGATTAAGGACCCCAATGGAAATAAGTTAGACAGTCCTCGATGACGCACTGACTTTCTTGGGTTATCTTGGGTGGCTAACCCTCCGGGGTTAAAAATCCGAACGAAATCTTATGTTAAGGTATTTAAATCTTCTGCCTTGTTCTTTAGTGCGTTGATAATAAGTGAGACTTCTGTTGGGTTGGTCGGAGTTAGGAACAGTGTGTTCGGTTAGGTGCCAGTGTTGGTCGGAGCTAGGAACAGTGTGTTCGGTTAGGTGCCAGTGTTGGTCGGAGCTAGGAACAGTGTGTTCGGGTAGGTGCCAGTGTTGGTCGGAGCTAGGAACAGTGTGTTCGGGTAGGTGCCAGTGTTGGTCGGAGCTAGGAACAGTGTGTTCGGGTAGGTGCCAGTGTTGGTCGGAGCTAGGAACAGTGTGTTTGGGTAAGTGCCAGTGTTGGTCGGAGCTAGGAACAGTGTGTTTGGGTAGGTGCCAGTGTTGGTCGGAGCTAGGAACAGTGTGTTCGGGTAGGTGCCAGTGTTGGTCGGAGCTAGGAACAGTGTGTTTGGGTAGGTGCCAGTGTTGGTCGGTGCTAGGAACAGTGTGTTCGGGTAGGTGCCAGTGTTGGTCGGAGCTAGGAACAGTGTGTTCGGGTAGGTGCCAGTGTTGGTCGGAGCTAGGAACAGTGTGTTTGGGTAGGTGCCAGTATCATGTGGGAGTTCGATACGTGGATTAGGGTAGAAATACTCACGTAGGCTGTTATACGTATAATCACTGTTATGTGGACAGAGCCCGCCAGCCGTACCTATCTCCTTGCTTCCACTCGTAACACTGCCTAGCCGGCTGGCCAGTACCCCGTAGTGGGTCTTTTGAATTAGGGGTCAGCTCAGCACAATATGAAAACCGTGATAAAGGGACGGTTGGTCGTTGAGTCAACGGACAGGTTACTGGTAACTGGTTACTGGAAACTGGTTACTACTACTGAGAGCTCGGCGACGCTAACGTATGTCGTCCCGACATACAACTAATACAAACTAGAGATGGCAGGTATACGGCTTGGGCTGATTCTATACAATGTCAAAGTACACAACATGAAACATTAAGATACATAAGTAGAACATTGGAATGAAAGCTTACCCTAACTGAAACTGTAATGTAATACAAGGTATACTATATTACAACTTAAAACTCAACAAATGAACAACGAACTCAACATTGAGATTACAAGTAAAAAAAACAAAAATTTTGATCGATCGATCTATATTATGTGATCTACGGATTCTGGGGAAAGGAATATATACAAGAAAGAGTGTTTAACAGAAAGGCAGATTCGGTGTACGCAAATCTAGACTGTTAACTCTCAGAATGCGGAGAGAAATGAACACAAAA